TTCGAAAGCACCTCTGAGCATATATTTGCCCTGCGCCAGACTTTTGAGAAATCGTTGGAGTACGGCCGTTTGGTGTGCATTTGTTTTTTTATCTAAAAATGCATATGGTACCTTCGCAGGTGTAGTAGGCCGTTATTACCTGGGGAAAGCGTATGGAAGGACTCTGCCAAGATTTGTGTTATACTCTGTTAAAACTCAAAAGCTGGCGCAGGACCGGGACAAGGTTCCTCAGGAGGCAAGCCTGGTTTCACGTTTCGAAAGGATAAGCGGTTTTCAAAACTGACCGGGTACCATCCGTTATTAAGCGGTACGAATCTTAACGGTTTTGTTGCTGTTCGCTGATGTAACGGTTATGACATTTTTTCCCACAGTTTAATCCATGTTTTATTCCCATTGTTGTTCGCTCATTATTTAATTTTAGCGCATATTTTTTTCTTTTTATAACGTTGAAAAAAGCAGAATTGCATGATGACCATATTCAAGTAGTAAAAACTTTCTTTTCGAATGTTCAACGCGAACTCGCAAACGTGTCCGTCCATCAGTGTATGCCAAACATCCAAGATGGCGGTACATTACAGAAAATCACCCATATTCCGCATTTTCCAGTGATGCACAAAATCCGAGAATGTTACTGCATACCTCAGTATATGGTCTCAACCTTGGAGGAGATTTACGCAGTATGGAAGGCTACTACTGAGTGGTTCCGCGTTAGCAATGATATTTGCCAGGTTTGTCTGCTTCGGCATATGCGGCGCAGCATGTTCCCTACATGTTCCTCCGTAACTATGTTGACCTGGAAAAAAACAGAGGTTGTAGTCAAAGGGTCAAGCGCATTCAACACATTCGATCAGATATCCTGCTGATCTACAGTACATAGATGATGTTGTCATGATGAATAGTTCCAGAAGTGGGCTCCGTCACTTGACCTCTTTCGCATGCAACACAGCTGGAAACAGCAGATACTTTCTTAAGCCACAGAAATCAAAAGTTATAAAGTGTGCATCCAGTATAGCTGATCTGCACGTAGAATAGTCAGGCGAAGTGGCAGAATTGACCAATATAGGTATCTGGACTCCATCATTGGAGATCTGATAAACGGAGCCTGGATAGACGTTGGCAACCTATCCAAAGTCTGGACTGAGAAAGCAACATCCATTTTCATTGATAAAATGCACATGTTCCTCTTCCAGGTCAAGTTATTGTATGGTATGCAGACGGCTTTGCTCAGTTGCTTTAACAAAGGAGCAGGAACAACGGTTGAACTGGCTGCAGTTGACGGTCAAACGGCGGGACCATGTCAGAACTAGCTCTGACAGACACAGATGTGTTGATCAAATGTCACGATTAGGAAGCGAAGGTTGTCCCTTTTAGGCAAGCTACTTAAGTTCAAATCATTTACTCCTACCGGCAAGCTCTCGTATTGGGGGGGGGGCTGAGCTGAGATGCGGAGAAAACGCCGTCATCGTCTCACAGGTGGTAAGCGTACTAGCCAGACAAAGGAGAGATAGAAACAGGTCTGTTTTCTGAGCGAAATATGTTTTTCTGCAATGCGGTAACCGGTCCCTTCTAACAAAGTGTCGAAAATGCGTGGTACAGCGGATGTTGCGCTTATGCAAGCAGCTCAAGGTGATGATCACAAGGACATTCCCTTACAAACGCAGGAAGCGAGTTGCTTGCCACAAATGCAACCTCGGTTTAAGAGTTTGCGGAGGGTGGACAATAACTAACTTACCTGACAGCGTGTCCCGCCATAATACGATGTAGCAATGCAAATGTTTCACGAACAATGAGTTGTTCATATATCAGGTGGATGGATGCCATGGACTAACAGACCATTCAACGGCAAATCCGTCACAAATAAAAAATTTAGTTTAATATTTGGAACGAAAGATTGCGGATCATTGTTTGTATTGATCATTAGAGAAAATGTACTGAATTTTGTTTATAACGCTGTTTATCATGCGGCCAGCAATGGCGAATTGTCAGTGTTAGAGACAAGATGCGAACCCGATGCTGGGTGGAGGACTTCAAACTCAAAGAAATAGGCATCATTTATGCAAATTAAATTATCGCTCTGTGCAGAGCATACCAGTTACCATTGTAATTAAGGCAGTGCCGGTGGGTTCGATTGAAGATGGCGGAGGTAGAAATGTTCAATTGTAGTCAGTTGTCATTCGGTATTTGATCTAATTGCTTAGAACTGTAGGTTCCTTTCCAGCGAAATAGGGCTCTACGAAAGCATTAGGAACAGGGCCTCGAGAAAATCAAGTGGAACATCATTAACCTCTCTAAAATGTGAAGATAAACGAGGAGAGTAGTCTTTGAGGTCAAGAACGTACATTTTTATTTCTTCACAGCGGTTCTGTAGTAGGTAGATATCCTGGAAGTCGTTGTAAATAAAAGGTCAAGATTGGCAGCCCATAGAAGGCTATGTTAACCGGACTGTTCAAGAAGATTTCTAGGAGGCAAACACAGCAGATCAATGAGATTTATCTTCCATTATTTGGTCATTCAGACAAGGAGGTTGGTGATCCGTACGGAGAAATAAACTGTACGATAATGCAAACTGGAAAATATGCCTTTTTATAAATCAGTCAGACTCGCACTAGCGGTTTGAATCAAGGAGCTCAACAAAGCATAAAGCGTGTTATTCGTTCGTTTGGAGTGATAAGTTTGGATTACGTCAGTATGACGCAAGCAGTGATATGAGAGAAAGTTTGCTGAATTATTAAATCTTTGACCTGCAGCTTGACATCGCAGTTTTTTGCTTTAGTT